GTATCGGGGAGGGGAGGGGGGGGGGATCCCTGCAGGAAGCCATGACCGACAGTCACGGCTCTCTTCAGGGAGATGATCGAGAAGTGAGCGAGCGACTGTATGTGTTTGCTCACTTCCCGATCTATTGAGCCGACGTGTGACAGTTTAATTGTCACACGTCGGCTCGAACTATGAGGCTGAGTGATTTTTACTCACCTTATAGTTCTCCTTTAAAGCTCTACCTTGTATCATGTGGATACTTTTTGTTGCTATTATCGTTTTCAGTGAAGTGAATTTCAGCCATTTTGCATCCAAACAGTTAATTATCATGTTTATTCGCAGGCTGGTTTTGTTAATGGCTTATGCTCTCTACATACTGATAAATTGTTCCCTATATTTTATTACCCTATAGTCATTAAAAGACAATGAACTGTAATTGCGTGTGTGTATTTTAGATACTTTACCTGGTTATGTAGAGAGCTGCAGTAGGAGTCTGAGCTCATACCTCAAACATCTGGTACACACGCGCTTCCAGCAGGGTAATGATAGAACAAATGATTGACACATGCTGCTCATCTAATTGCTTAACTGAAGACAGTCATTTACTATGAATATCTAATATATTCACCGTTCATCTTATGCTTAATATTAAAAGGAAGGTAGGCTATGTGTTCACAAGAATAAGCATAAAAACAACATGCAACACATTTTCATTTTCTCGTTATGCCCTTGAAGAGCTATTATGTTGGAGCCTAGGGGTCTTTTATGCCTAAAGACTAGAGGCATTATGCACACATTCACAAAGTTATCTTTAATAACATACATGATAGCATTTAAAGCATGCAAGGAGTATAGCCCACCTGATCAGCATTACATTATGCGTGCAATGGTCTAGGGCACCAGTCCATCCCTATCCCTTTTGATCTGAGATCTCCTGCTTGCTATACACCCACTGTAGACTAACATGTATCTCATGTACTGAAAGCCCATTACTATCAGTATTAAGACATTTCTCAGGTTCGCCAACCAGATACAAGCCTGCCTGAGAATTTTGAATGTGATTGATTCTACAGGAAGCAGAGAAGTAGAAAGTTACACAGCACTAACTTCAGAAATTAATGTCCCAGTGACAATGTTAGGTGCTGTCAAGGAAGTCTGGCTTGTTCTTGTCCAGTGCGAACGGCTGCACATGCACAAGCACATGTGCAATGTCTCAGTAGCAGGAGGGCACATACCCATGCGCCTGCACGTGGACGTATGCACAGGACGTCTTGCCCAGGTGCGCGTGCCTAATTCAAACAATGATGCCAGACTGCCCTTGCTCAGCAAAGACAGTTCTTCAGCTAGCTCCTGTATGCTGTGCACAGTGTGTGATCTTGATTCTGCTACCTGTTATTGACCCAGCATGAACCTTGACTCTCCTGTTTGCTACCTGCTTCAGTGACCTCAGCTTGCATCCTGACCACTCTTCTGTTTGCTGATTTGGTACCACTTTGACCGCAAGTTATCGACCCAGCATGTCTCTGACCTTGCTTTTGCCTGTCGATTCTGTGCCTCGCTGACCACCTCTTATCTACCCTGCCTGTTCCTCTATTTTCTGCATTGGTGCTGTTTCATCAGCTGTTGGCATCCTCAAGCAGAAGTGACTTCGTTAGCAGATCTACATATTCTGCCATTTGTATCCTTTCCGGTGTCACCAAGCTTCTACCAGGCACTTATGCCCCTCTTCCATCGCTACACTTACTGTCCATCATCTTCAGGGGTGTCTGGACAAGAGCAGCAAGAGAGGCCACCTTCATTATGTCAGGCTCCTACTAAGGTACATGACAGATGCTCTCTGCAATCTGATTTAGCAGGCTACATAGA